TTCTTACCAATGCTCTTCGAAGTCGATGCTGAACAATCAGAGACTGGGATGCGCGTGGAAGGAGGCTGAGCTTTCGTTATTCGAAGGACAGAGCCGCTAAGGCAGATAGAGACAGATAATGTGATTGAGATTGAGTCGGAGATGAGATAGATCAAGTTTGAGACTCGCTAAGAGAGCGCCTCGAGTGCACTGACTAATGACCGAAGTGCTTCGAGTTCGGACATTTACGTGAAGGCTTAGATGACAAATTCACTTGAACTACGAAAATGATCTCGACATCCAGTAATCCTCGTAGAAGGCATTATTTCCTGTGCTTGAGAACTTCTAAATTATCACTACGTTCGTGAATTGAATTAAATTGAATTGAATGTGTGCGTTATTTTACGTGGTGAGACTCAGGCCATGAGGCCTGCTCTTCCATCAGACCACGCAAATTTTGCTACGCTCCTTTCACCAACTAGCAAAGAAAGAAAGGAGGTATTTCTTGGACGAGAAATAGGCGATTTGAATTTAGCTCAGAGGCGTCATTTAGGCTTGAGGATCTTTTACATGCAAGTAAATCTACTAACATGGGACAGCCGGCTTTACTTCCTCTCTGAAGGGAGGCGTACGAAGGATTTTTTCGCCCTTAAAAATCCACGGCTTCGATCGGGTTTGAACCCGCCAACTTGGGTACAACAGTACGATTCGCTAACTGACAGTTACACCATCGTCGCGTGCAAGTGAGTGCCTTAGCCACCATTACGTGATAGTCACGGTAGGCTTTGAGCGCAGCATTGCCTTTGCCGGTAATGTGTCCCCATGGAACACCGTCGCCACCGAGGACGATTCACCGCCAGGGTGCGACTAGAAAGTGCCTGGGTGCGTGTTTAGTAGAGGGGCCGCCGTCAGAGGGAGGACTGAGGTGCCGCCTGGGAACGCCGGGAAGATGGCGAGCGCCGCCCGCCGGCCGACGAGAAACAGCTGACAGACACCTTCGCTTGCCACAAAGACCTGTCACGTCGAGTGCTGCCGCCCAGAGGTTGTCAGGCCATGTCTCTTTCAACAAAGCAGTAAGGACATAATCGGTGTTATTAGTTGGGGTCAATGCCCGCTCTGTCCCCCGCTATGAACGCGGGCGTGAAGGTCGATGATAAAGTGTAGTTTCAATAAGGCGGCAAGTCATTTTTTGTGGCAGGTAAAGAACCGGTCTATTTAGACTCGAAGAAAAATAATGTAAATTCTATGTAACCTATCACACATGTGCTTGCTCATATTCATCCTCATAATCATCTTGATTGGTCATTGAATGTATTATAGGAGTATAAATGTGTTAATGACCCCGCATCCAGTTCATTCGTCGAAAAAAACATACAAATGGAACGTGTATATACTCCCATTTCACATTAGAATTTCATATTGTATTAAAAATATCTATCATTTGCCTAAGAACCTATCTATCATAGCTTTCGGCCTCCAGCAATCAGCGCAAAGCAAACACTTCGTGAAAATGAAAGGATCCGTTGTCAAGAGAGTGTAATAATATTTTTTAATTTGTGTGGTTTGATTGCATCCTGCATTACGTCACTCTATTGAGGGATAAAATGCATTGAGAAAGAAATGTATGGCTTTAATATTAGAGGAACAGGACAGAATCTAAAATAAATTTGAACTAGCTGAATCATTGCGATTACATCAAAGTAAAAGAAAAATTAAGTTTTACATATTAGCAATAAGTAATATGGATTAGTATTGTAGTCATACTTATTAGTAATAGTAATAAGTAACATAAAGTTCGACATATTTACTAAAAAAATATCAAAAACACAAAACAAGCCTTCGTTTCATGTTCAGTATTTATTCTTGAACACTAATATAATGAGAGATGTTTACAATTTCTGCAACAACACAATCACTATTCACTGTGAACATAGAGTTGAACATATTTTTGATTTAAATGTTTTATGTTTCCCAATATTAGTAATACACCCAATACATTGCAGGAAACTATGGCAAAGACTCTGCTGTCCACTCTGTTTTAAAACGTAGTGCATTGCATAGAATAATAATTCTTAAACGTTTTTGTTAGAGGGTATTCATCAGATGATTGCTGGACATACGTCACATGATTGGGCTTGTATATACTCACTTATATTTGCCTTTAAAACACTCTTGAAACGTAAGGTCACTCATTATTGCTTCCCTAACCATAAACTCGCACTCATATGTTTTCTCGAAGACGAAAAATGGTCGATAGCAACTCACACAATGAAATAATGAACAAATGATAGCAGGTAAGCGATCATTCTATTAATTTCAAGGCATTATTAAAATTTAGATGTTTATTCTATAAAATAATCAAAGTAAGTGAAAATATATCATGAGACCACTATCTTTCCTAGAAAATTTACTGACAACAAAACACAAACTTGTTTCTAAATTAAAAAGCCCTCAGTGTTTTAAGTAGAAATAATTTTGAAATTTAAAAATATAAGAAATTTTAATGAAATTCGAATCTATACAATAGTTAGAAATGTATCCTTCTATTCGAGCAAACAATTTAAAGGAAACAATTTCGACCATCTTGCAAAAACGTAACGGAGGCTTCATGCAAAGTATCTTCCAAAATTAAAGCGTTTTTATGATCTCGAAAACGGCACAACTATGTCTTAATTTTGACGTATTTACCATGCGTCAGTTCTAAACGGCGTAAGCTCGGAAAAGCTTCTAATCTGACCGGGATACGCATGATACAGAGGTTCATCCAGCCACTCAAAGACAGATTTTGGGGTAGAAAATTGGGTGTAGCTCATGGCAATTCGCATCAGTATCAATCATAATTATACCAGCAGTAATAGATATTTATCCTGATCTGTGTGAGAAATTTCAGCCCAAAACAACTTTCAACAAGGAACAATAAAACTTTCAATCAGAACCAAACATTCGATATCGATTGTTAAGATGATACCAATACTATAGTATAGAAAAACTAAAGGGCAGTAACAACAACAGAAAAGATGCAAGAGACGTTTAAAGCATACAGTTGTTCTCCTAAGTTTTAAAATAAAAACAATTATGTCTGTCAATTATTATTATTATTATTATTATTATTAAACATCGACATAATTACCAAGACAATATAGGTAAATAAGTAGGATACTATTTATTAATGAAGTCATTAAAATATTTTAAATGATTTAAAACTAAGTAGGAATACTTTTACATAATATATTTTACCTTGCTGCTGATGATGCTTCTGCTGTTTACACGACCTTGTTCCTGTAAAAGATAAAAAATAATTAATAGAACATAAATTACTTTTCCTTATGTGATGATAATTAGAATGAAAGAACTTGTAATTTTAAATTCCAATAAAATATCCAAATTGTTTCGTGCACAGACCCCATTACTATATTACCAGCGAGTTCTCTGATTAATTATTATCCGTTTATTTCACATAACTAGCAAAAAAATCACTCGTATTCTGGGTGTTGTGTGATCTAAATGTGTATGATTACATGAAATTCACATGAGCATGAATTTTAAATACAACAACGAAAACTGAAAAAATCAGATCAGCACTAGCAGTAATTAACTCAAGAATATCAACTACCCTGCATTTATGAAGAAACTGTAGGAAGTGTTAAGAGTTAAAAATAAAACCTGCTGCGGTGACATCTTCCCTATCTAAAATTATCGCAGAAGCGTCAATGTCGTCATCAGTGCATACTGGAATGTGTGTCGATAACCACTGCTTGGCAGCGCCATCATCATTGAGAGTTAAATGAAATAGATAACTTTTCAATAAAATTAAGAAAGTTGGTGTTTACCTCATGCATCCGAGATGATCGACACGTTTCCTTTTGAACGATTTCGGACCTTTTAGTGGACGTGAGAATGCGCATAACGACTTAGATGCTTCAGAAGCAGATTATCTTTATGTGCGTTCACAGAATTTTCAGAAATCTTTCGCAAATAGGAAGCGCGTAAATTGGGTCTTAAGAGAATCTTAGGGGTCGGGTAATTACCAAACTCGGAAGTTATGTAAGGGTATCGAAGAACGCACAGTTATTGACGTTAGATGAGGTAATGAAATGAAGATAAAGAATTATCTGATCGATGTTCGCGTGACATGTTCAATACATAATGTAGATTCATACCAGGGTAATTCAGTTTTTTCAAAGTATCTTCCTTTACCCTTCATGAGTGCAACCACTAGAGACGAGTTCCGTATCGTGAGGAGCTAAGTTCGCCCGGCGATAGCGACGCAATGGCGGGAGCAGGGGCGGGAGCGGGGGCGAGCGGGGGTGGGCGCGGGGTGGGCGCGGGGTGGGCGCGGGGGCGGCGGCGGAGAGCGGGCGCGGGGGGGGCGCGGGGCGGGGGCTTAGGGAGGCCGGGGCGGGGGGGGCCCGGGGGCGGGCCCACGAGTATTGGTCACGCGTTTATCGCCGCGCGGCGAGCTCAGGCAGCGGCGCCGTCACTCGGCGCGAGCGGGGATGGAGAGGGGGGGAGGGGGGGCCAGGCAAGAAGTACGAGTCGGGACTGAGGAATTCGGGAGCGGGAGCTTGGAGTGTTCATCCCCTACTAGGTAGTATTTATAGGCGTTATTCTCGAGATAGATATTAGAGATTTTAGAGTTATAATGTTAGATTAGAAAGTATTGGATGATATGTTATGTGTAGTTTTGTAGTTATTGTATTGTATGTATTTGTTGGTTTTGATTGATATTATAGTTATTTGTTTATGTATGTAGTGTATGATTTATATTGTATGTTGATGGAGTTAGGTGATGTATATTTAAGTTTTGTGTAGTATATATATTGTTGTAGGTATGTAATTGTGTATGTTATTATTATATTTTTTTGTTTGTTTGTTGTTTGTTTGTTAGAGGTGCAGAAATGAGAGAGAGTGGAAAGAAGAGAGAGAGAGAGAGTGAGAAAGAGAAGAAAGAGAGAGAGTAGAGTGAGGACTGAGAGAAGAAGAGAGAGAACCGATTCTTAGGAAGGGGACGAAAGTGAGGGTGATGACGGCTGTTGTAATGGTTTAGTGTGAGCGCACAGGATGAAGGAGTGACGGTCAGTTTAAAAAAAGGTAACCTTAAGGTGGGAACGATGACACAAGAAATGGACAAACATATGAGAGATAATGACCTAATTATGAGTTCTAACTTTGTTTCTTCTCTTGTCATTTGGCGTCATAATTGTATGTTGGCGAGATGAAACTTATCATTTATTGGGTAGTGAAAACATTTAATTCAAAATGTTTCAAACTAAAAATGTTTGATGATTTAGAAAAGCAATGTATGGAAAAGAGAGGTTCATAAATTAAAACTCTGCCTTTAAAGATCGACTTCATTATTTAAAGTAAAGTATATTCATTAAAAGCAAGCTTACCAGGCAACAGTTATTTAAAGAAAATTCGATCGATTACCATTAAAAAAATAGCGGGTTTGGAGGGTGAAAGAGATAACAACAAATGATTCATTTAGTCTGCATAAAAGTATCGTAGCATCCAAATGTATATCGTATAATAACTAAGGTTGTTTCATTAAAAAATAGGCGACGAATGGCTTAGACCGCTGAACGACCAACAAAAATGAGAAGACAGTAAGCTACAGAGACGCAAAACCCACCACACAGCTTGTGAGATACAAACTACTCGCGCTCACAACACCAACATACTTTCACGCATTATTTCAAACTTTTTCAATTTTGAAAAATTCAGAGAGTTATCGCAAATGAATACTGGCGCCATTTTTAAACGTCCTTTGCTCTAACCCATAGGGAAAATGAGCTGTTGTTAAGGAAATATTTTTTTAAAACTGCAATACGTTTAAAATAAAACTTGGTGGCAAACTATAATTTTGTTATGAAAAACTGCACATGATCTTTTTAAAGATATAATTTTAGAACAGATTTCATATCTGATAAATCTCAATCCCACATATTGTACTTGAGAGATATTATATGTTTCAATTTTCGAAAATAAGGATTTGGGAGTAAAGGAAAGCCCTTCATCCATTTTTTTTTTTAGTTTTATTTTTATATAATACGATTAGAAATTTTTTTAAAAACAAGATTGAAAACGTTTTATGTTGAGAATTATTGTAATACACATTACCCATATTGTCATGGAAAATGCAAAAAAGGTACTCATATTGTGAATATATGGTATTTAACCTTATTTCAAGATGTTTTGAAACAACAGACTTTCTAAACGAAGATAACGTTTCTTAATATTCTGAGATGTAGTTGTCAGAAATACCAAAAATTTTAATATTTTGCAATTCTCAGAAAAGATAAATATGTCAAAAAATGAAATTGCTATCCAAGGACAAATTTTAATGAAAAAATTAGAGCCAATTGAATTGTGAAACAAAACAATTGAAAGTGCGGAAGATTCACGAAAAGTACCTTCAAAATCAAAATAGTTGCAAACCTTCCGACCGATGGGGAATATCACTTTTGGAGAAAATCGTCTTAACGGTTAGTACGGCAAGCTATCACATTCAGACAGACAGGCGGAATAAGTTTTGCCGACAATTCTTTATTCAGTATCAAGCACCCACAAGAAGGGAATATGATATACAACGAGTTAAAGAAGGTAATTTTGTTACAGTGGTGGAACAAGTTCATCAACATTTCGTTACCAGAACCCAACAATAACAGTTTTCTGCTCAAAAACAGCGTATTTCCGACGCACGTTACAAAACTTCCTCTTCCTGTGAAAGAGAGAGGCCAGAAAATAAAATTCTCGTATTTGTGGAAGGTCAGAGCAGTGGTGCGTCGCAGCAGTTAAATGATGCGACGCGGCGAGCAACGTCATATCGACAGCTTGATAGAGTGACAAAGTGGAGGCGGCAAGAGGGGGAGTTGCAGCGTTGGATACGAGGGAGAGAAAGTAGAGGGTGGGAGAAGCACATCGGTGAAAGGGCGCAAGGAAGAACTTGAGGACCGCGAAATTGGATGTCGAGAATTGATGTGTGAGAAGGATGACTGGTAAAGAGAAAGGGCCGAGAAAGAGGGAATAGTAAGAACAGATAACGACAGGAGAATACCACTGAATGTGAATAAAAAACGGAAAATAGGAACGGTGAGAGAAGACAAAGTTATTAAAATGGCAGAGAAAGACATAAATGGTAGTCAAGAAACAAAAGTGGAGAGAGAAGAGAGAAATGGCAGAGAGGCGACGAAATGGCGGAGAAGTGAAAACATAGCGGAAGAAATTAACCGAATGGAGAAGAAATATGAAATGGTGTGAAAGTGAAATAGCGGTGGGGAAGTGAAAAACGAAAAAGAGGCAATACCCAAAGCGAAGCGGCCAAATGAAC